AAGTGTACTTTCATGGATTTGTTACCAAGATACTTGTATTTGCCATGAGATGTAGGTAAAAATTATATATATGGATGTGAAATTATATTTATTTCTGTGGTTTATGGACTTAAAGTTTCCCTGGATGGAACAAGTTATATGCATCTTAGTACATGATTTCAACAGAGTGCCTATCTTTCTGCAGTGTTTCAACAATTCAAGCTCAAATGAAAATAACAGGCAAATTCTTGCTCATTCACCTTCTACTAAAAAACTAGGGGAAAAAAAACCCAACCCACATAGGATCTTAGAAGTGGTGACAATTCACTTAAGGCAAAAACAGAAGGGACCTTTGAGAGGAAGAGAATTAAGAATATTTTTCTCTTCAGGTAAATGGTCCTGTATTATGAAAGTCAAATGAAAGTAAAGCATAATTGGTTAATGCATGTAACGTATACAACCCTGTATGGGACGGAACTGTTGAGATATACAGTGGGATTCATCCTCACCAAAATTTATTCGCAATGTACCTCTCTGTAGCTGAGCTGGATCCCTGACCACACTGTGTAGACAAATGAAAGAAACAGGCATTTTTATGGTGTAGCTGCAGTATTTTCCAGACCTATTTTTAAGTGAAATTAACCCAACCTACAAATAGTGATTTATTCTTTTTTTCCTTCATTGCTTATAAAGTGAGTCAAGAGTGATTAGCTGTTTACTGCAGCTATATTTAGATTTAGTTCGAGCCATGCCAACTTTTTAGTTAGGACTCATTATTTCTTAAGACTGCTTGGAACTGAAGGTCCCACTGAGTGGTGAGAGTAGGGACTACTTCAGCAAGAGGCTCAAATAATTTCCAGCTAATGAGTGACAGGTATGAGTATGGGATTACAGTGTAGAAATTATCAAGGCATTGCTTCATCTTACTTATTTCACATTAGTACTATACATTGTTTCCTGCTTCATGAGAGATTTCCAAGTAGAAAGCCATTAGTTTCAAATATAGTTTCAAAGTGCTGTACAGAGCACTTTATGAACCAAAGCATGTTTTCCTGCAAAAATTTTATACTCAAGGCTTGTTGAAGCTTGAGAAGAGAAGGCTCTTGGGAGACCCCATAGCAGTCTTCCAAAACCTCCAAGTATTTATCTACCATCATGCATCTCTGGTTATCAAAACTGCATTCTTATCTAAGAGTCATATCATTTTACCTAATATAAAGTGTTTTTCCACAGTATATTATGGAATTTCCCAGCTAGCAGCAAGCTGTGTTTAGCAGAATTATGAATTATATTCAAGAGTCATTGCTTTATTTCACTTTAAGAACCTAGATCATTGATTTGTCCCCAGACAGGCACTGCTTAGAATAGGTGTATAAGGAGACAAATTAAGAAAGACATCCTGGGGAGTTAAGTGCCCAGCTTCCCAGCAGTCATTAGATTTAATGATTTCTCAGACCTACAACTGAACAAAAAGTTCCTGTACCATGTGGTCATGCATGTTCATTAAAAGCTTTTCTAGTATGGAAATTAATGCGGGCCATTCACAACAAAATGTTACGTTCAATGCACAACAACGTATATGTATCCTGTAGATAAGACTAGCAGTGTGTTTTCAAATTACACTTTCTCAGATTCTGAGCTACAAATGTAAGTGTAGCTAAAAGTTAACAGTCCATGCCAACCAACAAACAAACAAAACCCACTGAACAAAAACAGTAGAAGGTTTCATCCACAAACATACTGAAAGTCTGACAGACAAAATTCAGGTGTAATAACCAGGCCAAGCCAATTGAACTGACTTAAATTGTGCTTTTTAAGAAAGGGTTTGTTATCTCTATTCAATTCATTACCAATAAAGATAATTCTTTAATTATCTTACTTTACAATATTTTATGACCAACTCAAATCTGGTCATAAGCTGTGCGAATGAACATATCCGCATCCTTAAAGGCAACTGCAGCAAGTAAGCCTATAGTTTAGGGGCAACTCTTGCTGTTTCATGGCTCACCAAATTTTTTTCTTCATGTAATACTTCACACAAATACTTTACACCAAAATAGATACCTATTGCTTTAAAATAATGTAACAGTTCTTAATCTGCCAGTGATGAATAACGGTAACAAAGAGTCAATTTTAAAACCCATAGAAATAAAAAAGACAGCAAACAGCAGTCATTAAGCTATAACATCTATGATTAATATATAGGCAGTTAAATGATTAGTAATAAGATTAGCTTGCATCTTTCCTGCCCAGTAGATACTTAAAGTAATTGCATCTTTGCAAATTGCATTATCATCACTTCATGTTCATTGTGATGTCATGGGACAGCACGGCAGACTCAGCAGTTTCTCCTGAGCCTGCTTTGATTTTTTTCTTTAAGAATCAATTCTCTGGCAACACTAAATATTCTGATGTGGAGGCTTGCAAGCACTGCTCTCAAAACATCTACCTAACTGCACTAAAAATTACAAGGCATTTGTATTACTTCTCTCCAACAATTCCCAAATTAAAGATGACAAAAAAAATAACACCTAAATGTGAATTGTTTGATGCCAATAACCATCTAAATTACAACCTAGGAAAATTAACAAGCTTTGAAAAAAGAAACAGAAAATCTTTACCTAAGGAAACGGTATTTTGAAAACTTAGATCTTTCCTTCTCTGCTCTCTTGACACTGTGGTTACAATGGTTGCAAATTTGCATTTAGGCCTACTACAGACTTTCTGCAGTAAATGGGCTTTCCACAAGGTCCAATCAGCACTCAAGTCAATTTCGGGTGTACTTTTAATGTGAGTAATAAGAATTACACATTTAATTTATTTGGAATGAGAACAGCGAGATTTCTATTTATTCCAGATTATCTTTGAAGTATAAACCAGCAGTTTGTCAGGAACAGGTCTGTTAAGATGTAGACTTAAAAATCTGAAATGAGAACCTGCTTAAGTCCAAACTGATGGTTCTTCTACAATACAGACAGATAAACCAGACGGAAGTCAGGCAGACAGCAAACACTGCCCGATGATTCAAAACTACTATTTCTACTACTAGTAGTAGACCCATCCATGTGCATGTGACAGAAAAGGGGTGTGGCCCTTGGGAGGGGTGTGTGGTTGGGGAGAAGTCCTCCTGCCAGTCTGTCAGGATATTCTGGCATAAGCATGCTAGTTATCTTTGGCTGTTATAATCTGAAGAATCTTTATCTAGTGAATACAACTTCAGCTAATACCTGATAGCACATACGTGGTGCCTTCTGTAAGATGCTTAAAATCCTCTCCTATATTTTAACAGCCAAGTATTAGCTGCATAATACAGTGACATGAGACTCATCATATGCTTTGAAATGCTTCAGGGAAATACGGGGTAGAGCCTGTACCCTTTCAAAACCCCAAAGCCTTATATGCATCTAGGAACAGCTTGACTAAGCACAATACATATACTACACATTGTTTAAAAAGCTGCACATCTACTCAGTTTGCTTCAGCTGGAAAATAAATGGACGGGACTTCCCTAGCCACACATGGACCCTTGCGCTGAGGCTAATAATGCAAAATGCATCTTGTGGATGAGTAATCTTCACTTTTCATTGAAGTAACAGTATTACATAGTATCCATAGAAATTGTTAAACTAAGAGCTTTGCTGTATCATATATGGCTGTATAATTCACATAACGGAGGTACATGAAATATTCCAGGGTACACTTCAGGCACTGCTACTTAGTTATTGCTTCCTAGAAGATACAGTGTCACCAAAAGCCCAACATCACATCTCGGTTCTGCACAGGAACCTGCTTCAAGTAAGACATCACCAAAACCGTCAGTGACTGTACTCCAACAGCAACTACAAAAATTATCTGAATGTAGGAACCAAATGTTTGCTACAAAAAAATAAAATAAAAAATAAAATAATTTCTCGACATACTACTGTTACAGCCTCTGAAACAACTGTATACATATCATGTGCATTGCCCTGGAATCAGTCTGTAAAAAGGCATGTTCTTACATATATAAAAAGATTTACCCACACAATTTGTTAACAAGTGCAGTCAAGTGTGCAAATCTTTGTTTCAAGGCAAACGTACGGATGTGCTTGCACATACAATGTGCCTCCCCAACAGCCTGTCAGCTCTAGCTTGCAGGGTTTGCTCCAAAGCACAACTTGCAAAAATAAAAAATAAAAAATCAGCAGCTTCTAAACATATGCACCTGTGTGCTGGAAACACACAATGTGATCCCACAGCTCTTCAGTTAAACCTAAGCTCAAATGTTAGATACAGATATCTGAAGTTCTGTCTTCCTCTCGGTTTTGACAGTTGTAGACACATCTGCACATAACAAAACTATTTACAATGTATGCTCTTAGAAGTTTGCTTTTTCCTTCTAGTTGTTTTATAAACAAAGAAAAAAACATTCCTGTATAGATGCAAACAAATCTCAATGTATAGCCGTTCCTCAGAAAGACGCTGTAGCGTATTTTTAAATAATTAAAACGGAGCTACACTATGCAGGCGATCAATCATATCCCAAACTCTGCCTGTACAAGAGAGGAACCCGTACCGGTAGGAGCTGAGTCAACATCTACCTCCCTAGCCTCGGAGGGCCTCGCGGGGCCAGCGGAGGCTGCCCTATGCCCGGTCTGCTGCCGGAGCCTCCCGGGACCTGTCGAGGCGCAGGGGGTGCGCCAGGAGCTCTGCTCCACTCCGCAGACTTCACAGCTCGCCTCCAGTGAGTGGGTCATTTAACGAGTGGGTTCGCTCCCAGGTGTTCCCCTCCGTGATTCCTGCTCCTCTCTGCGATGAATCCCCCATACCGGCCCCGCACCGACGCCGGACAGCAGCCGGCCCCATGCCAAGCCCCATTCCCGCAGCACACCAGCCCCGGCACTCACCGCTGAGGACGCGCCCAGCGAGACCCCCGGGCCCACACAGCACGGCAGCAGCCAGCACCGCCGCCAGCCCCAGCCCACCTCCGGACCCCATAGCGCCTGTCCCGCTCCCCTCCAAGAAGCGTTTAAGGCAGGCCGATGCCCGCCAGTGAGGAAGGAAGGCTCGCTCGCTCTCCCGCCTGACTCCGCACCGCTTCCCGCCACGACTTCTCCTCTTTGGCGTGGCCCTGCCTATATCTGCTCCCCAGCAGAGGGACGGCCCAGGCGGGCGCCTGGGACCGCCTCCGCCATCCCCCCCCGACAGGCCCCGACGGAGACAGATCCCCCGCCGCAGGGGAGGAGACCCCGCCCACCGTGTCGGGGCCGTGGGGCGCGGGTCCTGCCGTGCCGCAGCTTGGTTTCAGGCGGAGAGGGGACTGGCATCCCTCCAGCGGCCGCCCCTCTTTGCCGGCCGCCGGAGCTGAGAAGGGGGCTGCCAAGGTGCCGGAGCGCGGCAGCCAGCTCGCTGCCGTCGGGGCGGGCGCCTCCCGCCGCGGGCTTGAGGCTGTCGGAGCGGCGGCTGCCGTCCAGCCCCATGCTTTCGGGTCGTTCCGGGTTAGTAACTTACCGGCTGGTGAGTGCGAGCAAGACCTGGGTCCCTGTGATTTCCTATCTGCCAAAGGCTCTGTAGGCTTTCCTGGTCTGTGCTTTCCCTTGCAAGAATAGAAATGTTCTACTGCCATGTTATTAATGTATCGATCTATAGCCATATATAAAGGTATAGATAGATACTGCTATATGTACTGGAAAGTTCCCTCCTCTCACTGCCCTAGAAGGTACTGTAGTCAAATTCACATTACTGTCACTAAAAATGTGTTGTGGTGATTCTTTGGACCTCTTCAAAGGACCACTTTGAAGACTTTGTTCTTCAAAGCCACGTTGTTAAGGATTTTTTCTACAAATACAGTTTGCAGATTTCTTTTATTACTTGTGTGGTTGTGAATGCTTTCGTTTAAGATGAGATAGATCGTTACGGATAGGTTTAAAGGACATCTCGTATGCATTTGATGGTTTGCCAGTCAACTTATCTTTCTCAGAACTCTATTAGAGTTCATGTATATATATATATATATATATGTTTGATGTACTGATAAATATTTTCCCTTTGGATGTTTATAGCCAGATTTTGAAGTCAGTACATCTCAGATTACTATGGATTTCAAAACACATGATGAATTTCATAGCTACCTTTCTTACCAAAAAAACTTTCAGATAGCAATGGGAAATTATTTCAAACACTGTTGTGCTTTGCTACCAACTTTTTAGATTTAACAGCAGTTATTTGTGTGACTGATACAGATTTTTTTCTATGTGGATTTTAGGCTTCCGAGCCAATAATTAGTTTTTTCTACATTTGTAGGCAAGTTGAGTTGTGAGCTAAAACTGGTTGTACTGTACAGCACATTCTGAAACAGAGAAAATCCCCATGGCACCTGAGATTCAACCTTTTCTTCATGTAAAGCTGATGGTATGCAGAAAGAGAAGAGCATGACCAAAACTTGTAATGAATTCAATGAGAAGTTTAAAACATGTTCAGTAATCAAAGCCTTTCAGCTCTATATGCTTTTAACTTACTCCTATCTTGTAAATATGAGGGATTTCAAGTTTGTCTGAATCATCTTGGATGCCAAGTGTTGTGCCACCAAAAGAAGATGGGAAAAATTAGAAAGATGTTACAAGTTTTCCCAAGTGTAAAGTCTCCTCCTGTCTCAAAAATGACATATGGATAGTCAGGGATGAAACCCTCCAAATAGGTGGGAATCTTATGTTGAATACCACACATAGGCAATGAAAAGATCTTTTTCTTATGCCTTTGCAAAACTTTGTTAGCTTGCCAGCTCCAAAAGCCACATTGAAATAAAATACTCATATTCAAACTGCTAAACTTTCCAGTCACCCACAACACCATCTCTTTTGCCATGGAATCAGCAGCATGCAGAAGGAAACAAAACAAATTCTGTCTTTAGTAAATTACGCAGCACTTTTTTGACATGCTTTATGCTGCTTTATTTGCCAAAATTGTACATAGAGTGACTGTTCCTGGCATTCTGCTGATCTTTGCTGCACATCTCATCAATAAAGTCTTTTGGGAAAAAGGAAAAAAAAAAAAAAGAGTAAGTGCAGTTGTGTTGAGACCAAACTGCATTTTCATAATTATCTGCAGAAACTTTCCAGACTTGTCTTCACCATACTTGCAGCCACTTGCTGCTTTCTGTCCTGAAGAAAGAAAACACAAAGCCCTGTGATGCTGCTTAAGAGGTGCTTCCTGTAGTGCCAGCTAAGAAGCTAGCTATTAATCTGTCTACTTCTCCCTGTCCCTTTCAGTTGAAGCATACTTATTTTTTCAGGAAATGGTGATTTCACTTTCAGTTTAAAATAATTGCTTCCCAGAGCTGGCAACTGCATAATTTGCAGTTGTTCATCTGGGCCTTCTAAATGATAGAAACAGAACTCAGTTCTGGGACTGGGTTTATGGCCTTTATTATACATTCACTCTGTTGATAGTGTGATTTAATCCGCAATGTATGAACATAAGACACAGTGGCATTATGAAGCAACTGAACAATTTAGAATTTTAACAAATTACGAGAATTGTATTGTAACTCAGAACCTAGCTATGCATAGTTCAAGGTTCTGGCAACCAAAATATTAATAACTTCTAGTGCATTAAAAGTTTATAATGTTTATTGCAAAATCCTGATAACTCGTACATCCATGAAACAACTCTGAAAAGTGGACTGTCTTTTCTCTATGTTGTGGTTTAAACCCAGCCACGCAGCTCGTTCACTCACTCCCCCCCCTTCTTGCCCTCCCCCTGCTCCTGGAGGTATGGGAAGGAGAATCAAAAGAATGCAACTCCCACGGGTTGAGATAAGAACAGCTTAGTAACTAAGGTATAACGCAAATCACTACTGCTGCCACCAATAATAATAAAGGAAATAACAAGGGAAGAGAATGCGACACCTCAACACCCGCCAGCTGATAACTCGTCCCCCCCAGTCCGACCAAGCACCGACTGATACCTAGTTCAACCCTGCAGTCCTAGCCCTTCCGGGTAACTCTAAGTTACACCCTGGGCATGATGTGCTGTGGTGTGGAATACCTCTTTGGTCAGTTTGGGTCAGGTGTCCTGTCTCTGCTTCCTCCCAGCTTCCCCTCCTCCGTGGCAGAGCATGAGGCTCACAAAGCCTTTGACCAGACCAAACATTTGAGCAGTAACTAAAAACATCAGTGTTATCAGCACCATTCCCAGGCTGAAAGTCAAAACCACAACACTGCATCTGCTACCAAGAAGGAGAAAAATGACTGCTACTGCTGAATCCAGGACACTCCAGCATCATAATTTAGCTACATTGCAAGGTTTTATTTCCTAATTTAAAGAATACAAAAGTATCAGGAGAATAGTTCAGCTGAATATAAAGCTTTCAAAATATTGTTATTTTCAAATCAGGGCTAGGTGCTTTTCAAAGGTAATTTTTAGTCTAAGGCAATTTTTTGCCAAATCACAAAAGAAAATGGGTAAATTTGAGCAGTTCCATAAGGTAGCTAAATCACTGGATAACTTAATGGTTTTTAGCCTATCAATTTGTGAATAAATATGATCATTAAATGCTGATGTGTTTCTCGTTATTGCTTTTTAAACACTTTAAATATCACTTTTGGCCAGTCTGAAATCTGATTACTATTTAGTGTCACTAGTCAATTTCAGAACAAGCCTAGAAGGGAAAAAAAGAAATTTAAGTTGTAATAGTTGCCCTTTGGGCTCTATTTTGCCATTCACCAGAGTGATAGGGCTCTATACATTGCTGTCATGAAGTGCTGTTTAAAATCTGAGTTACAGCTGTTTAAAATCTGAGTTACAGCTGTTTGCGCACTTCATTTCTCAGCAATGATTATTTTAATTTTCTTTTTAGTTTTCCCACTCATATGTAAAACTCTTATGTCATTTGCCCATGAGCCTAGATGATGCTCTCTCTGAAGCTGCCCTGTTATACAACTGAAAGTAGGAAAGCAGGAAAAGGAATTGTATACATTTATCATTTGCAATGGCTTGCACATGGATAATTTATTAAATAACTTTGCTAGAGCTCTATCAATTTGGTATCTTATTGGCTTCCAAAAGTAGTTTAAGCTATTTAGCTTCTGCCAATTTCCATGGGACTATAATAGGATTATATTTTTAATGGTTTTTTTATTCTGTAGTTCTGGAAAAGGATTCAGTACAGATGCTTAAAGCATTTGAGAAGATGTAAGATGCACTAGAGGAGGGAAGTGATTAGAAAAATTTTAAGCTCACTTCACCCCTCTTTAACAGCATCTAAGATACCATTTACCCACAAAGTTAATAGAAGTCAAAATAAAAAGTGGAGCAGGAGAAAGGAGAGAAGGAAGGAGATGTACCATTGTTCATTATCCAAGTGTCTAAGAACAAGTATCTAGCCTGTAAAATACGATGCCCCTTAGAAATTCCCAAACTACTTGCAAGTTAGTGGTCTACCTAGCAGGGGACAGCGAGGTGTGCTTGCTTGAACTGCAATACCCCAATTAGAATGGCATGATTCCCACCTTAATCTGCCCAGCTCTGAAGCCAGCTAATTCAGTGCTAACTCAGGTATTTCTGCATAGTGCTGCATTGCACAGTGCAAAATGCCATTGTGGCTGTATGTGCAATGCAGTATGACTGACAGTTAAGCCAAGTTCTGCCAAGGAGGGCCAAAGTAATTTAATTTCTTTCTATTATAATCCATTTAAATGTAACATATAGCAGAAGTGGCTTTAAAATAAAAAGAACAAAAAAAAAAAAAAAAAGAGAACAAAATGTTTTAGATAAATGGTTTTTCTTAATGGCCACAGGACATTTTTTTACATATTAGCACAAAAATTGCAAGTTCACAGATTTTTTAAGCATTCTTAAACTGTGCTATCTTGTATCTACAAAAATAACCTGATGTGTCCTCCCCTTCACTCCCCCCTTAAAATCCCATTAAAGCTAGTTCTTCATCAAAATCTTCATGGCTACAGACCCAATTTATTAATATTTCTTGGGTTTGGATCAGACTAATCAGTAGAATGAAACTGTGCATTAATTAATGAAGCCTAATTCTCAAACCAGATGCAAAATACTAATTCGAAGTGAGCAGCAGTTCTGTCCCAAAATGAGAAAGTAAATTGTGTTTTGAACACAACTGCCAAGATGAGCATTTTGACAACTCTAAAGCTTTATTACAGAAACACATTTATGGCAAGGACATAATTTAAAACAGCTCCTGTTAGCAACTTAATCTTGCTGGATAAAAATAGTGGTTCACCAGAATTCACAGCTGAGTCAGATTTCTAACCACTTCTTTCTCTGGGTAGCAGCAAGTGCACAGCGATATTCTTGTCAGATGTATGGCCAGCTTAAAGTCTAGGTGGCCTCTACTGCAGGAGATTAATTTAGAGCACAAGCATCTCTTTTCCCTGTCTACCAGAGATGATGATACAACCTCATTTGGATGTGGGGGTCTCTGTATATTAAAAACACCAGCAGTATTTATGAAAGCCTTGCCACTGTA